AATCATTGCATAGCCCCCAGACGCATTCAAACGCCACTACGATTTTGAGTGGACATATGAATGCAGGGAGCATCTTAGAAATGGGTTTGATTAATATCAAGAAACTTTACTTTCTTTTTATGTGCCACACTTCTCCCCTGAATTATCTCAATTTACAGAGCCTTCAAAGTGATGAGCCTAGTTTTTACTTGATTTCATTTGTTTGCCGTGTTTATGTTGTTTATTTGCTGCTGTAGACGGGACGTGATTTTTCATTGGCGTGTAAACACCTTCGAAGACAAAAATTTTGAAAAATTTTTATAAATATGAACGATGTTTAGAGAACATGTTGAAACACCCACCTTTGATCAGAGTCGAGCGGAAAAATAGTGAAAAAGGCGAAAGGCCTTTGGATTTTGATTCCGGTGAGTGATCGTTTTGCCATTTTTTGATTTTTTTTTTGAGGAAACTCAACATAGGTAGCAAGAGTATTTGAAAAAAGCAGTAATATACGTAATAAAACTAAAATAATAAAAGGATTCTTCTTTGGAATTCATTTTGAAGGAAGCTAGGTAGCGCCAGTCATGAATAACTTGGCTGTGAATTCTATAAAACTTACCCTAGCAGTCCTGGCCCATGCCGTTTTTCCATAAATACACAGACATTCAACCTTAGGACTATCAGGGAAGAAGTAGAAGGTCAGGTAGATCCAGCTTAGGCCAGTAAAGAACAACTATCTCTTGATTATGCAGTAAAGTTGGATATGCCATCCAGGAAAAAAAGGGGGAAGGCTTGTTTATGAAATCAATATCGCTGCTAGTTAAGAGAATGCTGTCAGTGCTTCCCTACTACCCGTTACCTTGTGACTTTCGTTTGCTCCATGAAATTTCTATTCATTCAATTAGAAGCTTTTCAGGACGGCGACGAGTCAGCAACGATCGGCTCTCGAAGATGTCTACATTCGGAAAAATGCTCGAGAATGTAAAAAAACTTTTTTTAATCATTTTTCTTGTCATTAGATGCGACATTCACTCATTTCTTTCAAACTTTATCTGTCACATCGGGTTTTTTGGTCTAACCTGTGCTCGTCTTTGGCACAGAGTGAAGAGTGGGGTGAAAAAAGCATGTCGGTGCCAAAGTCTGGTTGTTTTTCGAAGGAAAAGGGCTCTCGTGAACACGAGGTGTTATCATACCTACTGTTTTTGATCGTTTTCCTTTCCCATTCCCAAAGGGTGAACTGGGCAGAAGCCGAATGCACCCTAGACCTCCTAAGGACTCCTAGGGTAGCAACCATGTATACTTCAGAGCTCCTAGCTCGTTAAAAAACTCATACTTCCTCGTGAACAGCTGAGGCAGCTGTCAAAGAATTTCTGTCTAACATACATATGTAGCTGTCAGAATGATCCAGTCTTCGTGTTGAACAGGGATTTCACGGTGAATGAGTGAGGTGCCTTGCACTAGAAAGCTTATAGGTAACACTCTTCCTGAGCAGCTACCGTCTTGTCACATGGGCATGCCTTTGGGTGTTATCCTGAACCGCAAAATTGATCGTATCACTTCTGGTCGAG